CGGGATCGAGACCTGCTCGATCGAGACCACCTTCCCGACCTCCTTCTTTTCTTGTTATTCCTTGAAACAATGTCCATACGTACTAGCCCCCAAATTGATCCTCAATCACATCACTACAAGTATAAGTTACTGGAGCATTAGACCCTTATTGGTTGAGCAAAAGCTAGAATCTCCTATACCTCAATTCATGTGGAGGGTCAATGAAACTAGATCGTGTCAGAAGCTTTATCCATGCCCTTAGAACACATTCTCAAGTTGACTATCAATTCAACGAGTGTAAATTTTGCTTGTACTAGAGAGGAACCAACATCACTGATGCACATATAACATGCAAGTGATAAAAATCCTTGGATGCCTTAGGTTCGTATTCCACAAGATTTTCTAATGTATAACTACTCACACCACACCATCTATGCTCGAACTAGAATAGTAAAGACTTTTAGTGGACCTGGGAATAGCAAATCCTTGGATGCCCTACTCTACTCCTTTCTCTTGTATTTCATATCTCAATTGTAACTATTTGATCAATGAGCCTTTGATAGACCTAGGATGTGTTTTGTACTCTTTCATGCCTTCTTGGTATGTTTTTAATGGTTTTCAATTACAATATGACCTAGGAGAATTAGGATCAAGCATTGGAAACTCTAGAGGACCAAAGGAGCTATAAAGAGAAGTATATGTATTTTTCATGATAAAGACGAGTTCCGATGATGAAGAATCCTACTATTAACCACAAGTAAAGCCCAAGAGAAGCCCAACAGAGGAAGACTCGGCCCAAGCAGAAGCAAGAACCAATGACAACCCAACATAGGGTCCAATTGCCGCTCATGGAAACCTGCATAAACTGTGCCCAAATATTCATGAGATGTTGTCCATGGGCCAAGAAGACCAGACCAAGAAGGAAAGGGGCGGTCCCAACCGCTACTTAGCTGTCACCAAGAGGCCCAAGCCCAAAATTAGATCTTTGGGCCACAACTTCTTCCCTAAGTCAAAGAAACCTTGTCCTGGTAAGTTTAGGAGGATTTTGGTTGTGTTTTACCCGTATAAATAGAGGGCTTGACTCATTAGTTCAGTAGGCTGCACGAATTCACTAAAATTCTGTAAACACTCCACTTGAGTGATAGTTTAGCATTCATAGGAGAGGGTGCCGCCGTGTAGATGCTTTCATCATCGATGGTGGTACTCTCCTTCTCTTCTATGTATAGCTAGTTTAAATTGATTGTATGAGGATGTGAACTCGTTTATCTTTCTGCATATTGATGCTATGATTTCATATGGTGCTTGTGTTTATGCTTATGAATTTTGATGCTTGTTATGTGTGTATGGATGCTTGATTTTGATGCATATGTGATGACCATTGTTGTTTATCTAGTATGAATGCTTTCTTGTCATAGATGCTTAAGACCCTATAGTGTGCTACTGTATGCATTGGGATTAGTATCATTTAGATTGTTAAGAAATTACCCTTTAGTGACAACCCATTGATGTTACTCGAGTATAGAAGGAATGATCAACCATCTATACCTTGAGTAGTATCAATTCTTGATTGTTAGATCATCGATGCTATATAATATCCATTATGAATCATAGATGCCCACACTTAATCATGTGCTATCATAACTTCCTTGTTCTTCATTAATTAGGTAATGACATGAAGTGAAAGCACGCATTAGCTAGTTAGATCTCTATTGCAAGAGGCACATGCACTAGTAGAGAGTGGCTTTAGTGAAAGGGGTAGAGTGATGCTATAGATGAGTCATTGATGCATGCTATGATTAAGTCTTAGTATGGATGATGTTAATCGAGATTTACCTTGTTATACAATAACGTATCTTTACTTTTATGCATCTATAAATTGAAAAACCCTAAACAACTTTACTTTTCCTTGCTTTCATTTCCTTTAATTATGATTGAGTGAACCCCTAAAGATGTTTGTCAATTTCGCATATTGTAGATGGTATTGTGTGAGTACGATCCAAGGCATTAGAAGCCCTTGTGGAATTAGAAGCCCTTGTGGAATACGATCCAAGGCAACCCAAGGATTATAATATGATATATGTCGTTTTGGCGCCTTTGCCAGGAAATTCTAAAATATATAAAAGCATCTAACCATATTATGTTTAGTTTTGATTATTTTGTTTTGCAGGTTGTCATATGAGTCCAGTAAGCACTAGAAGAAAAAGCAAAAACCTAAAGATCGTGAAATCATCCAGAAGGAGGAGCATCAAGTTCACCCATCTTGAGAACTAAGGAAAGAGCATCTAGCTCAGGAGAAGAGGATCCTTTAAGTCACACCAATATCGAGCCAAGCTTGGGGAGGAGGAGAACAATGATAAAGTTCGCAATTTTGATTTCGGAAGAAGAAAAAGCCTCTTTAACATATTCAACACCATCAATGGCTAGAAAATAAGGAGAACGACAAATGGCCATCCCACATACTCTTTATGAGAATTCAAGCCCAAATGCATCGAAAATCACCTCAAGCATTATTGCACCACCAACCAACATCGAGATCTGCACTCAACTAATCCAAATGGCGGAATAAGCTGGAGAATTTGCATGGTTAAGTGATGATAATCTTGTGCAATACTTGAAGATATTCTTGGAGATCGTTGATTATATGCCAATAGATGAAGCTATGAAAGATGAGATTCAACTATGACTCTTCCCATTCTATCTTGGAGGAAGGGCAAAGTAGTAGCTCGATTATCATCCACCAAGCACCTTCACTACATCGGAGAACCTTGCTCAAGCATTCACCGAGGAGTACTTTCCACCATGGAAGATGGAGGAGCTTAAAGATGAGATTACTCAATTTCAACAGAAGAAAAGAGAGTCACTCTATGATGCTTGGAGGATATTCCAGGAGTACATCAAGGCATTGCCCCCATCATGTATTCACATCGGAGCAGATTGCAAAGTACTTTGACAAAGTCTTAGATCAAGATACCATGATGATGGTGAACTAGTTGGCCAACAGTGATTTCACAACAATTATGGGATACAATGCTAATAACATTTTGCCATCACCAGCAAGGAAGTCAAAGAACTGATCCTAGCATCCATCAACGATCAAACTATTGAAAGCTGCCCAAGGAAAGGAGGATGAAGTTACCACCTTCAGTACACATGTGAAGGATCTGATCCAATAATTAAAGAAAGCCTGAATAGAGTCAAAGCATGGACCAACGATATCCCTATTCGTTTGAGAAGCATGTGGAGAAGAAGGCCATGAAGGTTTTGAGTGATATAGTCATGGAGGGCAATGACACGCTTATGTCAATTATATTAACTAAGGCTATCAAGCAAGATCTCAACAAGGAAGCCGTCCTTCATACCAAAGTTTCACTCAACCTCTCATATCATGCTAGATAGCCTGACTCTAGGAGGAACGATGCCCGAGGCATCCCCCAACATCACGTGTACCAATGCACCTTATAAAGCACAATGACAGAAGAAACCAAGTTCGCCTAGATATGGCAATCATACTCAATACAAAGCGCAAGGAAAGGTATCTCAAATCAGCAACCCATCAGATATGAGAAGGCGGAGGCAAAAGTGATAGAATTGTTAACGAGCTACAAAAACATGGAAAGAGAAATTACACTCCTCATTGATGGTCAAACTTTGAAGCCTCAAGGAAATCTCTGAAGAAACACAGAGAAAAATCAAAAGAAGAAGGAGGTCAAAGTCATCTCAACAAGGATGGGAACAACCAAAAGTTTCCCGAGCATGAAAAATGAAGAAGAGAAGAAAGCAGTTGAGTATCCATCCCTCTCTAGAAATATGATAGAAGCTTTTGGAGGAGCAAAAGTGGCAATGCCAATATTGGAGAAAATAATTTTCATAGAAGATCTAAAAGGGAAGCTCGAGATTTTTATAGAAGAAGATGACCAATTTGAAGAAAAGGAGACCACGATCAAGAAAGCTCCTTGGGGTTACAAGGAATTCATCCTAGTCAATGACACAAGGAGGATCCAGGGCAATGCATTATCAAATGTCTTCTGGATGATCATCATGTGGAAAAATGTCTAGTTGACCTTGGCTCAAGTGTCAACATACTATCAATGAATCTATATGAAGAGATGAGACTAGCTGACAAAGAATAAATCAATGTCGAGATCACGCTAGCCAACAACACCCATTATTGAGCTCTTGGAATTGTTTGATGCCTAAGCACCCAAGTTGGCCCGTTCATATTCTTCCCTGAATACCTCATGATAGACATGAAGACAAGCAAATAGTATTCAGTCCTATTTGGAAGGCCATTTTTGCCACTGCTAGAGATAGAATTGACGTTGTCATCGGAGAAATCACTTTATACGTAGGAAAGCTCATGTGCATAGTGGAGAAGCCAATTAAAAGAAGTGATGATCTTGAGTAGGATCCAAAGAATGAGATCAAATTTTTATTGGATCTATATTTGAGGATTCTCCAAATATCACTGTGATCAAGACCTAAAGTATGGAGGTGTTGAAGGAGGTTCCACTATTTCATGATCTAAAGCTTTCTCAAATGGCACTCATGATAGCCATTAAAATTAAAAAGACGATGCTAGAAAAGATTGAGGAGCTGGAATATGAGACATCAGAGGAGTATCAAGAGTTCATCAATCGTTATCAACCTATGGGGATCAACAAAGAACAAATCCTTGCAACGCATGGGGAGATGACAATGAAGTGGACCTTGATTGTGAAATCAACTAAAAGGGAGCCTCCTGAGCCTAGCTCAAAGTCATAAAAGAGAGAGCTCTCAATGGGAGACAACCCATGTCTAGTTTCAAACTTAATGACGTTAAACAATAGTGCTATAGAGGAGATAACCTGGATTTCTCGTTTCTAGTAGTTTATTTTAATATT